CAGGACATTCTACAAGATTGTGGGGACCAGTGTAGGTAACTATAGAGCTCATGGTCATAAATGACCGACAGAATGTATCCTTGGCTGACATTGAAGACCAATGCATATTAAGGTTTGACTATTTATTACCGAGGAAGTTTGTAATTAATTTTGATAAAATGACGTTTGGGAACAACAAAGGCCAAATTCCGGTAACTGTTAAAAGAGAGGTTGAGCTAACCAGGTGTCATCAAGCTGAAGTCAAAGTCACTGAAGGAGTTGATGATGGTGAAATGGAACCAGGTATATATATTAAATCAGAGCAGGAGAAAGACCCAGATTTGAAGCCAATAATTGATTTTTTTAAAGTAAGTGTTTTGCGCCCTGCTTGGGAGAAGGTGTCTAACTTAAGCCCTGTGACAAACAACTATTGGACACAATAGGACCAGTTGAAGCTTGAAAATGGTATTCTTCTCCGGAGATGGGAAACTGCAGATGGGAAAGTGACGACCTGACAAATGGTTATACCGAGAAAGTTATGGGAAGTTGTGCTGCGTCAATCCCATGATAGTCTAACATCTCGGAGTTAAGAAGACATTGAGTCCCTTACGACAGAGATTTAAGTTGATAGGTATGAGGCAAGATGTGGAAGAATGGTGCAGGACCTGCAGTACATGTTGTGCTAAAAGGAGACACAAGCATAATGGACGTGCTCCAATGAAGTTATATCAAGTTGGCACACCAATGGAAAGAGTACCCGTTTACATTGTTGGTCCATTGCCCCAAACTCGTGCTGGAAACAAGTACACTTGTGTGGTGATGGATTATTTCACCAAGTGGCCTGAGGCATATGCAATACCAAATCAGGAAGCTACAACTGTAGCTTCGGCTATTAGTGATTTCTTCTTCATATTTGGTATGTCATACGAACTGCATTCGGATCAAGGCCGTAACTTCGAATCAGCTGCGTTCCATGAATATTGCAACTTGTTTGGCATGCGAAAGACCTGGACAATGCCACTTCACCAACAGTCTGGTGGGATGGTAGAAAAGTACAATTGGACACTTGGACAGGAATTGGCAAAGTTTTGTAATAGCCGCCAAGATGACTGGGATGTCTTACTCCCTCCACTGTTGATGGCCCATAGAACAGCAGAGCATGAAGCCACTGGATACACTCCAGCAAAGCTGATGTTCGGTCGGGAACTTCGGTTGCCAGTGGATCTGTTAAAAGGACGCCCACCTTACGAAGAGTTGCCTGAGTATGTGTCACAGTTTGTGAAAGTGTTATCGGAAAGGATGGACGATATTCACCATCAAGTGCGTTCAAACTTAAAAACGTCTGCTGATTCGATGAAGCTATGTTATGATAAGAAGTCAACTGAAGTCAGCTTTGTACCAGGAGACAAGGTGTGGTTGTATAATCCCAGGAAGACCAAAGGGAAGTCTCGTAAGTTGTCATCTCCATGGTAAGGCCCATATGACATTGTGGATCGTCTTTTAGACGTGACTTTCCGAATAAAATGTGGTCGGCGAGGAAAACCAAAGACGGTGCATACCAACAGGCTTTGGTGTTATCACGGTCCAGGTCATTTCAGTTGAAACGAAGTGAACAATGGAACAAATGACGCTGCTGAAGACGTGTCACATGAAAAAGCCACTGTAGAAGAAGAGACTCTACCCGATTTTGAGAAGGAAAATAGTGAAGCCGTTAATGAAGTTTCTGCCACTGATGTTACTGCTACCAATAATGGGACATTTCCTGATAGAGTGGATGAACCCTATGAGAAGCAGAAGCCAATGAGACGGAGACCAGTACGGAAGAAGATACGTCCTGTAAAATTAGGAGTCTTTGTTGTATTTTAATTTTGTGTTTGTAAATTCTGTACATTTAGTCAAGTTATTGTTAATTATCTATTGGTTGAATGTAAGTGGCTGTTGTTCGGGACGAACAATACTAAGGAAGGGGCAGTGTTACGACAGTGGAAGTCACGCTGGAGTTTCTAGAAGGATTGTGACTTATCGGGGAACCTCGCGAATGTCCCAGTGTTTGCTAGACGCCATCGTTTTTAGTATATAAGCCAGCGATAGACAGATATGCAGATAGACTGAAGATAGAGATAACTGAGTCAAGTGAACAGTAGGTACCGTAAGTAAATTGTGTGAACCACTGTGATTTATAGCGTGTGTTATAAAGGTTGTTAAGTTTAAAGTGATGATGGAAATTTTGTGTATTACAAAGTTGTATCAAGAAAGAATAAACTAGTTTTAATTAAGAAAAGACTTGTATCGCTGAAGTTCCTCGGAAAAAATTTATACCGGAAATTAACAAACGAGCAGATACGTAACATAATATTATTCTCTTGTTGGTAGGTTCTTTTAAGTTATCTAATCCAGGCCACATAAATTATAACAATTTAGTTTATTTCTTCTTTAAAAGTTTTATAAGCTTGAACACTGTGGAAACTTTTATAGGCCACATTTACAAATGATGCTAACTACAATAAACTAACGTTAAAACAAACTTACTTGTACAACTTCATGGCTGAAGTGAAAACACACTGATTCACTCTACAGCTGGAAACAACTCTGCTATATTTTTGATATTTAGGTGAACTCCATGTTTATAATCTACCCTCGAATTTATTAGAAATTTTGACGTCAAAATATTTAGTTTTCCAGACCTACATTATTAAACAAGTTTTCGATCTTAAATCACAAACCTTTTATGCTAACATATAAACTAAACTATTAAAATATATCATACAAGATTATCTGAACATACAAAAGAACTCGTAAGACATGTTTTGTTGTGATTAAACATTTTTGTTATTTATGTTGAATTGTTTTAATTTGTATTGCATCATCTTTATTCTTCAATATATAAAATAAAACAAGTATAGAGGGCGATCTCATTTCAAAAGTGTTTGCCACTTTATACCTCGTTGAATTACCGCATGGACGGAAATGGGACTGACGAGACAGTATTTAAGATTTGTACCAGGTCCTGTTTTTGGTATCGTTGGAAGTATTTCTGCAAAGATAATTTTTGTGAACTATAAAGGAACGAAAGGAAGATTTGCAGCTACAGCTTCGTGCGAAAACGTGACCATATGGGATACAAAAACTGGAGACAAGGTAGGCTTATTAATGAGGCTAATTGATCCATTTTCCTACTTTTAACTTATAATATTAATAAGTGATAAACTTAATAATTAGATCCAAAACCTCGAGTCCCAGGTATTACGTTTCATAATATCTAAAGTCTAAAGTTACCCTTACTTTGGGGGTTAACAGTATCAACCCTCTTGAAATTAATCAAGTAACATTTTCGTAGACCCTGATTGTATAAATTTTATAATTCAGAGATTTATATGTTTGCCTTCTCATACTGATAGTAGCACAGTTAAAAATTTAAAACATCATGCCCCGTCTCTTCTGGGCAGTGCCTGTAACATCATTTATCTTTATTAATCGTATGCGTACTGGTGAGGGTAAAAGTGCGCGAGCCACGACTTTTTAGTTTTTTACAAAGTGTCATTCAACATGGTATTACGTATTTGGTGCCAGAGTTATAAACTATTCATTTTACCATTTGCTGGTTTTGCAACAGTTCATGGTAGAGGAAATTAAATACAATATATGTAATAGATTTTTAAAGATACTGAAAAAAATGTGTATATGTATTCTGTAGGTTCTAGAGGCTATACAAATACAATATTCAAACTATACGATGGACAGAAGTATTATTCTTCACATAAACATTACCTTGCACTTTGACTTGTCTGATTCAGACTGATTCACAAACATACCTTGAGTACGTATACTTCTCTGAGTCTAACTCATGTAATTTTTAGTATGCAACAGACTTGTACACTTTACTAAAATTTACTATATAGATACAACATACTAAGTTCAGAATTATAGTCAATATTTCTTAAAAATACAGGATCAGTCCAATGGAATGAGCCCATGCACATTCTGTTAACACTATCATGAAGTATGAATACCAAGGAATGAAAACATTATAAACAGAACTTTCACTCCTGTGGGGGTGAACAAAGAAAAACCTTTTTTATTCCACAATTTGTAGAACTTTTTCATTGAATACATTTTAAGATACTAAGCCTGGTTATGTTCTGCAGGAGCTTTTGGTTAAATAACAGTAATTTACTGGGTTTCCCATCTTTTGAAATGGAATATTATTCATGGTATTATTCAATGTAGTCATTTTGGAGCATTTAATTTTTAAATAAAAATTGTCATTTTTATCAACAACATAAAAAACATCATCAGTGAATTTTCAGCAGTACTGTATTAGGTGTGAAATGATAGTTATCTCATTATTTTCATAACTAGATTAGTTACCAAAACTGAAACAGTAAATCCCATAGCAGTACATTCAGGTATTTTGTAACAGTTGTCTTTAAATGAAATAATTGTGGTTTCAAGATAGAATTTTAATCTTTCAAAAGTTTATATTTTTGGTAATTATGGTATGCTAAAACCTAGATAACCAGCAAAAAATATGATTAATCAAAAATTGATTTTAATTGACTTAAATAAATGACATTTTACTTAGCTTGATGTTTGTAATTATTTAAAAAACATGACACATATTGCTTTATTCAGCAAAAATTGCATGTTCAATTAAATATATAAAATCACACCAGTTACATTTGATTACTTTCTGGTGTTATTTACAATTCATGGTTTAGTGCTTGATAGTTCTGTTTTGTATCATTTCTTACCTTTCAGTGTTTAGTAAAACCTTAACTTCAGCAAGTCAATTCAGATTTCAGTTTATTGTCAATAAGCATTAATTAACTTCTAAATATTAAAAGTATAATAAACTTACCTTATATTATTATTTCACTTCTTTGGAATAGTTTTCTGCTTAATTTATTGAGCTAATGGGAACATTTTCCAAGTAATGCTGATTGAAATATCAGATATTTATTATTGGATAGTGATGGGTGATTTTAATTTCAGGCATATAGATTGGGAAGTGTTAGTCAAACCATGAGGAAGAAAAGTTTTTCGAATCTGTTCAAGATTGTTTTCTTCACCAATTGGTCAAGGAACCTACTAGAAACAATGCTATTTTAAGTTTATTGTTAACTTCTAATATAGAAATAGATGAGAGGGTGAAAATTGGGGAACATATGGATGCGAGTGATCATTGCACTATTGGTTGCAATGTTTTGCTGCATATGGAGATCAGGAATATTGATATTTTGGTTACAAGTTTTAAAAAAAGCAATTCTTGAAGAGAGGTGACAAGAATTATCTATTGTGAATTGGGCAGCTGACATTTTTGGAGACACTGATAACATGTAAAAATTTCGTAAATAATCAAGATAAACATCTTCCTTATAGAAAGAAAAGAGTGGATGCAAGTAAAAACAAGGTTAGCTCACAAAGGGTATAAGCCTATAAGGGATAAAATTAAAGACAATCATCACAAATTTAAGAAATGTAAATGGACTGGTATGATAGGAGATTTAGAAGATCAAGAAAGTTGGTCAAACAAGAAATTAGGACATCAAAAAGGACACATGAAAAGATGTTGGCTGAAAATATAAAAATTAACAGTAAGAATTTCTGTAAATACATTAAGGGTAAACAAAATGTTAGGATGGAGATAGGACCTTTGAAGGATAGTGAGGGAAGACTTGTATCTGATGCTTATGAGATGGATGGGTTATTAAATTCTGTTTTTCCTTCAGTTTTTACTAATGAAGATTTAAGTAATATTCCTAATCTTGAACAGTTGATAGATGGAAACAAGATGTTAATTCTGAGCTTGTTAAAAAACACTGCAAAGTTTAAAGAGCAACAAGACTCATGGGCCAGATAATATTTTCACAAGAGTTTTAGAGGTGGGTAAGGATTGGATATGTGAACTACTTGCTACTATTTTTTTTATTTATTTATTATTATTGTTTTATTTTTTTTTATAAGTCCTTGAATAGTGGCCAGGTACCAGAGGATTGGAAGTTAGCTAATGTTACTTCTTGCTTCAAGAGGTGTGATAAAAATAAAAATTTTCCTAGTAATTATAGGTCTATTAGTCTTACATCAGTTGTGGGAAGAGTTTTGGAAAGTCTGATAAAAGATGCTTTGCAAAGTCATTTAATAAAGTTTAGAATTTTATTGTATAATCAACATGGTTTCACCAAAGGAAAATCTTGCCTTAAAAATCTTTTGACATACTTTGAAAAGGTTACTGCTTATGTAGATGAGAGTAAGGGTGTAGACTTGGTGTTTCTGGATTTTCAGAAAGCATTTGACAATGTGCCACATAAAAGTCTTTTAAAAAAATTACCTATAGGTGTGGGGGATAAGTTAGCTAATTGGATAGAAAAACGTTTGACAGAAAAAAGCAAAAGGTTGTTATAAATGGAGTTCAGTCAAACTTGATTAATGTCACAAATGGAGTGCATCGGGGCTCAGTCTTAGGACTTTAGCTCTTTTTGATTTACATAAACAATGTAGATGAAAGAATGATCAATAAATTACTTAAATTTGTTGATGATATTAAGGTCTTGGATGTTGCTTGGCTGTGAGGAGAATGCTGCTGCTTTAGAAAAGGATTTTGATTATTTAGTGAGTAGGGCAAATAAATAGCAGATGGGTTTTAATTATAATAAATGCAAGATAATCCATGTGGGTTGTCATAATTTGTGTGGGAAGAACCTTAACAGTGTTACAAAAGAAAGGGACTTTGGTGTAGTGGTTGATCAGTATCTTAAGCCATCCAACCAGTGTGCTGTTGCTGATGGTAGGGCAAATGTAATTTAATGTTGTATCTACAGAAATATTAAATACCAGTCTAAAGAAATTATAATTTCATTGTATAGATCACTGGTTTGACCATATTTGGAGTACTGTGTTCAGTCTTAGATTTCTTACCTTAGGAAGGACATGAAATTGTTGGAAAGGGTTCTGAGGAGAGCTACTAGAATGGTGCCTGTGATGGAGGGGTTGTCATATGAGGAGAGGTTAAGATATCTTCATTATGTCAGAAAAACATGTAGGTTCAATAAGTCTTGATACAAAATGATAAAAAAAAAACCTTTAACCCGAGCACTTTCAAAAGGTGAACCTTTCTTCTTCAGGGGCAGACAGTTTGCCCCTGAATAAGAAAGGTTCACCTTTTGAAAACACTTGGGTTATAAGGTTTTTATCAGGTTAAGATTTCTGAGATTGTTTCTGTTGAAAAAACAAAAGTTAGAGGGGATTTGATTGAGGTGTTTAAGATTGTTAAGGGAATTGATAGTATTCGTGCATTTTTTTATTTTTTTCATACTTATTGATGAAAATGGTATGACTATTTTGGCAGGGTAGGAGTCTTCAGCTAAGACAATTTTATTTTTCTAACAGAATGGTCGGCCTTTGGAATGGGTTGCCTTCAGATGTTGTGGAGGCAGTAAATTTAAGTGAGTTTAAGAGAGTGCTTGATATCTATATGATAGATAAGGGCTGACTTTAGGTTTTTTTTATTTAGTAGTTTTTGTTTAGTTTAGAGGATAAAACAGCCTAGATGGACCAATAGGTCCCTTGTCCCTAAATGTTTTGTTAATACTTGAGTGATCCCCTGGTTACTTGCTAAAAGTGGCTACAAATTTCATTTGGTGATGATTCTAGGGGAAAGGGAGCTGTAATTATTTTTAGGAGGTTCTACGGGAAAGTGTTTTGTGGATTTTTAGAGGTATGATCCCTAAAAGTAAGTTAAGAATCTAGCTTATTGTGTTTAACTTGTACTCTATATCAGTTTTTCCAAACTTTTGATTCACAAGGAGATTTCAGCCAGTCCACAAGATGGTTGAAAATAACCCATCTATTTCAAAATATAGAAACTGAAGTATATGCTTTACAATCTCATTTAAAACTACTTTAAAAGTTAATATTGTATAAAGCAGTAAATGAAATTTTGGGATCAGAAGCTGGTTATTAATTAGAAAAGGATGGGAACTGTCAGAGTTTTATGTATGTATGTGGGTGGGCTGAGGATTCTTTTACAGCAGGTGTCTGTAACTTGTTGGTGATAAATTTGACAATAAATGGAGCATGCACACTACACTTATTTTAAAATAATATATTCAAAACAAGTTAAACATATCTACAAAAAATTCCTTACACTATGGATATCACAGTTGTATCTCAAACTCTAAATAGAATGTCCCCCTAGTGGCTTTATCATCCATTTTAATGGGGTTGGATGCCAATTCTTTCTTTTGAACCAATATTTCAAGTAGGTGGGGTGTTTCTTTAGTCTGCTCGAAAATTTAATATTTTTTAGACTAAAATACATTTTAGTTACTAAGCTTGATAAACTATGGTGGAATCCTATAGTATTGATGTAGTAATTTATGATTTTTTAGTTATTCAAATGTATATATATAAACCTAAAAGAAATTATGTTGTGTCATATCCTCTGTGTGAGAAATTTTTAAAGGCTTAGCGACCTACGTACAAAGTTCGTAACTAGAAGAGATAATTGTTTGCTTTACTTCTTTTTTTACTGTTCTATGTTTTAAATAAATAAGTTTAAGAACTTATTTCTAAATAGCAATAATCTATATACATATATAATGTATACTAATTGAAATGTGACTGTATTTTATAAAATACTAATCCACTAAAACACAGCAAAGGCAAGTTACTTTGTACAGACCAAAAGTGAGTTTTATGTTATTGGATATGGTAACATGAGTGCATGTGGGCTGCATCGTTGTAACTTCTGTATTGTTAGCCAGGCACAGCTGAAAGGTTGATATAATAAAAAATAATATATATGAATGTATAATGTTATGAGATTTAAGCTATTTAGTCTATACATTTATGTTTTCATGTTAATTGTGTTCATTCTAGAATGAAAGAGGCATAACTTATATTTATTTCTAAATTTTTTTATGGTGGTTACGAGATTGGTCAAATCTAATGAATCTGTACAGAGATTAATTGCTGAAAATAACTGATAAAATATAAAGTTTTTCTTAAGAAATGTTTGATAACTATTTGGACACTAAAGATTTTGCATGTGAAATTTGAAAAGTTTTTGATGCATAAAAGTATTTGTAATCGTAAAATGAAAATTATTTTGCATGTTGGACAGATAACATATGAAAAGAAAAACAAGGCTTAAGAAAAACATTGCTTTACAAACCTCAAGCCTGAATAAAAAAAAAATCTGATATTTTGCATAAGAAAGCATTTTAATGTTTACTAATAATGTACCAAATTTCGTTAACATTCGCTTAATAATTTAAAAGTTATAGCATGAAAACTAACAAGCACAAAATGGTTTCTAGATTGGTCCCAGGGACTGAGCCAATGCTGAAAGAGTTAAGATAATGAGAAAAATAGCGAAGGTTCAAGAAATGTGACGTCAACAATTCTACAACAGTTGATCACACACACAAACATAACTACTATGCCACCAGACTGCATATTTACTAAAGGTTAATATCAATAAAACTTGTTAAACTTTGGGCATACACAACCAAGGATCTCATAACTATCATTTTTAAAATTATTAACTTTTAACACCCTTATTATGAAAACTAAACAATCATTAAATATTAATTCACAAAATAAATTAAATACTAGTGCCTACACTAAAAGTCTTTTATATCCAACAGGAACAACTGCTCTATATTAAATCCATATCTTTGATATTCACTGCTCCCACATATTAACCTAAAATTAATGTATAAACACACATTTTCACTTACATGAGAACTTGATGCTGCTTGGAAATGAACACAACTTTTTGCATACTAAACAGTTATATAACTACTATGCCACCAGACTGCATATTTACTAAGGGTTAATATCAATAAAACTTATTAAACTTTAGGCATAAATTGCTTTATAGAGTAATAATTAGAAACATGTTTTTAAAAAATCTTTCTTATAAAGTTGTTGAGAAGTCTTAATTTAGTTTTAAGGTTTTATTAAGTTGAATATACATTTTCATTGAAGAAAAAAATTGTGATAGCCTAAAATGTTTCAAGTTGTAATACAGATAAATAATGTTAAGACGTCTTGTTTGGCAGAGTATTACTTTAGGGTTGTAACCCCCTCCCACCAAAAAAAAAAAAAAAACAGCAACAACCAACAACAAAAAATAAATCTAGAATTCACTAAAGTTTAGATTATTGTATCAGATAACCCTGGCAACAGATGATTTGGTTAAAATACAACCTAATTGATATGTGCTACTCAAAGTATTTAAGTTTATTTTAGCTTATTGTAATTTTATTTTTTATTGCCACTGAATATGTATTATAGTTCAGAAATTTTAGTTGTTTAACACTGCCAGTGTTAATGTACAATAACATCAACTGTGGTATAAGGCTATCTGCTACATCACTACAATTGAAATTACCATTTAGTTCTTACCCTCAGCTTTGTTTTCATTGCTGTCCATGATATATGGATAAATATTGAATGTATTTCGTAAGTGCTGATGTAGAGAAAGAGAGTAATATCTGCATTATGCAAGTGTACAATCAACCTCTCATATCCACATCCATTGCTGAATAATATCTTGTTAATCTATAAAATGAATACTGATTCAAGTTTGCTTTGTTTCATTGTATGGGCATGACAGTTTGGCATCAGCATTGTTCTCAAATAGTGAAAAAATATTGCTCATACCACTGATGTAAATTTGAGCCACAATCTGCTCTGTGGTAGGCTGTCAGTATCTATTGTTATTCATTTGTTGTTATTATTATTATTATTATCAAAAGTTATCAGAGATACCCATGAAATAGTAGCCCATGTGGCCTTGACTTTTAGGAATATCTGGCTGATAAATAACAGAAATAAAGCTGAGCAATGTTCAACTGATACCAAGTCTTTTGTATTATTGCACTAGATGTGTGCAAATGGTGTAGACTATTTTTGATGTGTGGGAAAACAACACTTCCTCATGCTCAACTTATGATAAATAGCTCATCAGGTAGCACAGTTACCTGCCTAAAAATTATCTAGCATTTATTTTACAATGTCAGTACACAGGAAACTCTGGTCTGGAGATGGCATCCTTTTACAGAAGGTTCGCCCTCAAGGTGTACCATGTTTTCCTTTTCATGCCACTCTGACACACCCTCATAGTCCAGTTGTACCCATTCACATATGTCTTGCATCCAATTCCTTATTGGTCTTCCCATTGGTTTTGCTCTCCAATAATGTTCTATTTATTGCCTGGTCTCCGACAACATGGCCATAATATAGTAATGTTCTTCTAACTTTGATCCTTCTAAGTACCCCTTCATTGGTGAATCTGTCTTTGTGAGATAACACAGGAAACTATATTGGCAAAAGTAAGTGTATTGGTAGAAATACACTAAAAAGGGGCCGTGGAGACCCCTGATATTAGGTGTCAGAATTAGAGCTTTAAAGTTTTACATACCAAAAATGGGAAGTTCTGTACTGTTCTATTTTCTTTGGCCATCATTTCAAAGCTGGTGAAGTATTTTTTAAGTATTTTGTTATTGATAAATGTATGAGACAATATTATAGAAGTCAAAGAAGGATATAAACAGATATACATATCAGTAGATTATCTGAGATCCATGTATATTAAACTTTTTGACCATATCAAAATATAATAAAAGCTACTAAAAAGATGATTGCACCTTTGTTTTCACTTTTTGATTTTTACATAAATCTAAAGTCCATTTATGTTTTATTGTAGTTATTAACACTTCAAGGAGAGAAGCATGAAGTTACTTGCTTAAGTCGACATCATAATGGTCAACAAATAGCAGTGGGGTATGCTGATGGAGCTATTCGTTTGTTTGATCTCTCCTCTGGAAGATGTGTTGTGACTTTTAATGGTCACAAGTCTGCAGTTACCAGCTTATCATTTGACAGTGATGGAATGCGTTTAGTTTCAGGTGGGAAGGTAAGAACTTTTTTTTTGTATGTTCATAGTTAAAACTATATTTTGTTGGGGTCAGAGTTTATCTTAGTTCTTGACAAGGTATCTGAATATTCCCCACTTTAACTTAAATTAGGCTTAATCATAAATTTACTAGTATTTTAATACTTTCTTGAAGTTGTGTTTACATTCAGAAATAGAATAAAAATTTGTCTACTATTCAAGCTAATCTTGATATTGCAATTATTTGTCACTGAAGTGACTAAGGTAAACCATAATAAAAACATTATATTTACTCTAGCAATTGAAGAGAAATACAGTAAATAAATTTAAGTTTCCTTTCAAAGGACTATAGAACTTCATATAAAAGAAAAACAATTTGTAAATGGGAAATGAAATTCATAGGTACAAAAATTTTGTTGTAATTTTCACTTACTTCAGAGGAAAGGATATTTAATTTTTTTTTTGTATTTAATAATACATGTTTAACACAATGTGTAGACATTAAAACTAGTGTATTGAGTTAGGTGCTTTCTGTTAGTTTCTATTTCTTTATTAAAGGTTGAGTTTAGTGGTTTTATACTGATACTCTTATTGAGTCTACTTGCAACTTTAAGCTAATAGTGATTGTATTATTATTATTTAAAAAATATTAATGAAATTTCTTGTTTTTGTATACGTGGGTGTTGTTCCTCACAAGCATATTTTTGACAGGGCCAGATTATGACCACATTGGACCCATAAGCTACTTCATTTGTGGTCTCCGCTTTCTCCACAAGCATGAATTTATTTTTTTTTGCAATGAAATTTTCGTAATCAAAACTACTCTTTACCTAATATAATGCTTTTAAAATATTACATTTTCCAAATTAAAATTATAAGGAACTGCCTACTCACCATTTTGGATAATATGACCCTGGTAGGATAAAACTTATCAAACTATGACTGTAAAATCCACTGGAAAGGTTATTCATATGATGGTGGTTGTTTTTGTTTTTTTTATCTTCTGTTTAACCTGTTCCACACGGATCAAAGGCCATGTCATTGCATTTGTTGACTTGCATTCAAAATTTTATTGAACTACACTCTTATGAATGTGTGTCAATAAGTTTGGTATCAAATTGTAGATTATAATTCCAATTTTAGTATTATACATTTGCTAATTTCTTTGACCAGTCACCACAACTAATTTTGTTTGTTGAATCAATTAATATAGCACAAGATTATAGCTAATAATCCATATTTTAATGGTATACAAATTTTAAGTTCATAAATATATATAAGACAATATTACAAACAATCCTGAATTTCCCCTAGTGTGAGAAATGTGACATTTTTTTTAGCATCCTCTCTTCTCTTATCTATTCACCATCCCTCCAATACGTATGAAATTTAACGTCAGTTACTCACTGTAATATTGTCATCACTCAGACAAAGCATAATTCTTCTAGCCTTCAGTCTTGTTTAGTTACAGAGTGATCAAATAGAAAATCAGACCCCTCTTGCTACATCCACCTGTCACATCCTCTCTTTCAGGATTTGTTAATAGTTCTCTTATATTTAATACTATATTATGTTTAACCAGTAGAAAGCCAAGGTTTTCATTTATCAAATGATATATTACATTGTTTTCTGAACAGAGAATTGTCAATTTCTCTTTTTGTACAAGCTTCATTCCCATGGGAAACATATCAATAGCTTGGATGAATGTGTGTTAGCTTTTGTCACATAATTAGAAAGCCAGAAAAATTGTGATAATTATGGGGCATTGTCTGCTTTTTGCATGTTATTATTCTATGTTCTTTGGTGCATTATTCAATTAAATAAAAATTTAGTGCACTACTATCATTAGTATAAAAAAATGGTTTAATGTCATCAACAGTTGACAGCAAAAAAATAAAGTCCAGGTAAGTACATTTTCTTGTTTTTTGTGTGTATTCTTTGTTATTTTAAAAGTGTCTAAAATGTAAAAATAGGAATCTCTCTAGATTAGGTAAAATAACTAAGAATATAATAAAAAAAAGTTTTCACGAGGCATGCACACAAGCAGCTTGAAGTAGCTCGCGGATAATGTAATTGGATAGCTTAATGTGAGTTTCACATTCCTCAAGTAATTTACAACTTATAAGGGCATGAATAGTAGTTAGACATGGTTCAAAGAGCAATAAAATTTAAGAATAGATAGATATAAACTGTTACGAGTTTAAAGCTACTTAGGATAAACAAATGTAGTTTCATTTTAGAATTTGAAGTCATTCTAGACAGAAAAAAAGGGTAAGTTAGATTTATTTAGTACAAGGTCAATAAAATATAAATGATAAATATATATATATATAGGTGAATAAGGTTATGAGATATAAGGTATTTAGACTAAGCATTTGTGGTTTCATGTTATAATTTGTAGTCATTCTAGAATGAAAAAAGCATAATTTATATGTACTTTCTAATAACAAAAATAACAGATAAAATATAAAGTTTTAAAAAACAGAAAAAATACATTTGAAACATATTGAGAAGTATCTTGAGGTTATGCAAATGAAATTTGAGATGTATAAAAGTATGAATGAATTAATGAATTAAGCTTGTGCACGTTATTTTTTTACACGCGTGTCAGGTTCATTTCCTTCTTATGGGGTGAAGAGCATACCTGTTCCAGAAATAGTGGGGTGCCCTGCATGTATGCTTTAGTTTCATCTCTGAGCACACCAGCCCCTCCACCATACTGGAAGTTAACATTTTCTTACACTGAAGATGTATTTATGATTGGTATGTACCTCCCCTCACACACTTCCCACCCTTCCTCCCCACTGCTGGTGTTTTTCATTTGAGATTCTGCCATTTCTCAAAAATGAGGATTGAGCAGGAACATCAGGGGGAGCTAGCTGTGTCAGTTTAGGTGGCACAATAGCATTGGTGGTGAGTGGTCACATGGTATGTACATATTCAAAAGTGGTGTGCTGAGCTTTAAAAAAAATTTTAGCAATCCTCAGGGGGCATAAAGAAGATCAAAATAGCTGTGTGAGAAGATGTAAGTACCTTTTGGAAATACATTTTCAATATAAGAAAATGTGAACCTCTAATACTGAGCCTGTTATCAATCAACTTGGATTGACCTGTGAATTATCCAGTATTTATGATAAACCATTTGTCTTGCATGTTTAATAGGACACAGAAATAGTTTTATGGGACATCATCAATGAGGCTGGTATGTTTCGACTGAGGGGTCATAAAGGAATTGTCACAAAGTGCCACTTTATGAAGAATAGAAACATTCTGGTATCAAGGTGAGCAACATTTGATGTGTAGTGTCATTGATAGAAATTTATTTTATTTATGAGAACATAAAAATGAGAAGTACAGTTCAACCCATCAATGTCACAAAAACATTCAGCCAAACCTTTAAAATCAAAGTAATTGCATCTTTATAATGATAAATTTCTTATCCAACCAAAACTTAAATACATTTACCAAAAAAGTTCATCACTAGACCATTTTACAATTTGATATCCTTTGTTAAAAACAAGTCTTACTCAAAATATAACTTTGTTACTCCTAACACTCATAATTGCATTTTCATCCTTTTCCTACTATTATTCCAGCAGACCTCTAAGGTTCCTATATACTATAAAAAAAAAAAACAAGTTTGAAATGTACTTTGTAACATTTACTGTACTTCAAGTTTATGGTGTGTAAATAGTAATCACTTCAGATGATGTAATTGGACTTCTTGAAAGCAATCATGATGTTGAGAAAATACTTTTTTAGTCATTTTCACTGTATTTCTAGAGCACGACAATGAATATCAGTTTTTAAGCGGTTAGTTCTCACACCTTAACTTTAAGAGTAGTGGGCAAAGTCTTGTGTGATTACAATTTTGATGTATTTATATATACTATCAGAAAAAAAAGAAAAACTAAAATTTCTAATTTTCCTGATGTCATCTGAGTGACTTTTCAGAAAAAGCACAATTTGTTATTTATAATTGTTACACATTAATGTGTAGATTGTAATTATACTAATAGTATCAAAAACTTAAGTACAATTTGTTATTCTCACAGCTCCAAAGACACGATGGTAAAGTTTTGGAATTTAGATAGTCAGCATTGTTTCAAAACTCTCGTTGGACACAGAAGTGAGGTAAAGTACTTCTGTTTGTTCTTTTAAAAGTAGAATAAAAAACATTTACTTTTAACATAAAATAGTATCTTTAAAAAAATGATGAAACACTTGTATATCTTTAGATGGCATATTACTACTTAATGAAGTAAATAATCAGTTAGTATTAAATTAATCCCAGTAAAAATAGTTTCACACACACAAAGAAACAATGTAATTATTATTCTAGCTAATTATATGAAGTAAAGGATAAAGTTAATGATTTTCTTCTTGCATGTAGAGAAATTGATAATAAATATGAACATATTTCTCACTGAACAATGCTTTACTGTGGGTAAGGATAAACAGATAAAAAAATGCTTCAAAATATGAGGTGCATTTGTATAATAAATAAACATTTTAAGTACTACTTGGTTGAAATTTGATTGGAACATTTTAAGAAAAGGAAAGAATGTCAGTTCAATGAATCTGGCACTGTTGTTGAATTCTGTTGCAGAGTTATTGGCAAAATTTTTTTATTCACAGTATTTTATGTATTTTTTCCTTAAACAGTTTTAATAGCCTATAATACAACAAACTACACTTTTGAAACAAATTCTGCTAGCAGTTTAAATAAAGTACATTCGTTATATCTTTTTCTTTCTGTAGAAATAATGGTATTATATATGTTTATGGATATTAACTTGCAGATAGTTTTTTGAAAAGTTTCACATTTTAAACTATATTAAGTATGTGTAATTACTGATAATATTGTATTTAGGGAGAACTAGTAAAATTGGCAATTGCTTTTGTGTAAATAACATTACTTTTTCTTTCTTTTTTTTTATGCCAAGGACATATTTTACTAGCAAATAACACTAAACAAGCACTGAGATGAAATGTAGCATTGTTTGTGTATAATTCTGTTTCTACTAGCATTGAACAACCACTGAGATGAAATGTAGCATTATTTGTGCATAATTCTGTTTCTGGTAACATTGAACAACCACTGAGATGAAATGTAGCATTATTTGTGCATAATTCTGTTTCTGGTAACATTGAACAACCACTGAGATGAAATGTAGCATTATTTGTGTATAATTCTGTTTCTGGTAACATTGAACAACCACTGAGATGAAATGTAGCATTAGTTTTGTATAATTCTGTTTCTATTCTTGCACACCATTTTCTTATTTGATTTTTAAATATTATGGTCTAGAGATATACTTAAAACCAAGAATTTTTTTTTTCACACCTTAGGTTTGGGATTTTGCCCTAATACGGGAAGATACACAAATGATCACAGGATCTAGTGACAGTGAACTGCGTGTTTGGAACATTAATTGGCTTTCTGGTTCTGAAATAAATGTGAGTCTACCCTGTATAGTTATAGAAGTGTGTCATGCTAATTAAAATGACCAGTGGGTTTTGTACAAATGATTTTTTTAATGTAATAGTAATTGGATTCTGTAATGTGTTGTAGGTTAGTTAATGTTTGACTATTGATGGCTTAGTTATTATCTACTAAATTTAACAAATCACTAATTAAGATTTCTAATGATTTGTATCAAATACTTATTTAAGCTGTAAGATTAAATTAGAGGTTGCTTTAGAAGTTATTAATATCAATGTGAGAGGTTTATTAATGCAAAAAAATTAAAATTCCTAACTGTTCTCAAAAGCTTTTATGGTAATTTTAATTATTTTTTTTCTGCGACCATATTTTTTTAGTTTTTTTTATTATAGAAACGAGTGTGAAAGTATTTTGGATGTAATGAACTAATTATGAAATAATGTGAAAGATAGATAGGGCATGTTATTCTTCACAATAAGTAACAGTAATTTGCAAATATCTATCTTTTTATGCCACAAGGACCAAAGTGTACCTGTGATGAAAAAATCTAAGACTGGAAATGACGATGATGAAGAACTAAATAATAATGAAGATGTAAGTTTTTGTAGGATAAATAGAATTACTTACAAGATGTACAATTTATTTACATATGAAGTTGAAAGTGTCAAAATTTTTCTTTGTGAAGTTTTAACTTTTTTTGGAAAATCCAACTACTTGAGCATCATTATTTTATACTAGTATAAAAGCTTGTCAAAAATGTTGGGAAACCAAAGCCTACCAAATCTGAATCCTCAAATATGCACTTGCAACTTTGCTGCACGTAAACAGACAAGAAAAATAAAAGGCCTTCTGGGTTTCAGACACCCAAACCTATCATGAGCAATATACCCATTACCTAAAGAGTGTCTCTTTTCAGTATCAATCCTTGTCCCAGCATTCATTGATCACCATTATTTTCTTATCACATCAATTGTATTATTGCAATAGTTCTCTTAAAACCACATTTGTAGTAAATACTCAATCATCATTCAAAAACTTCTCTTCAAAACAAATGGCAAATTAATTTTCTTGATATAAAAACTCCCTCCTTGACAGGCAGAAAAGTGCTGAAACTTAGGAGCAATTTATACCTACATTAGTGATTGAATTCAACTAAGATGGGAATGGGCAATGAAAAGAGGAAGTATTATAGAAGAAAACCTGGAATTGGACTCGTGTAACTCACGAAATTTGGAGAAATCGAGCATGACCAAATGACTTATACTTGGCTTGTATAATTATGATTCTTTGATTATTTGGAGTCTTGTGGTATAAACTTTGCTGTTGCATGTGTTTCAATGTTTAAGTTTTCATATCTACATCATGAAAAATAATTGCTTCTAAATTTGTATTCATCAAGTTTTGTAAATAATCACCAAGAATGTGTACATAGATTTAAACACAATCTTTCATAGGACAACTTCATGAACTAATGATTTTAGTTTTGAGCTCTGGTAAGATGATAATTCCAAAGAGGCTAAGAAGAGAAACTATATTAATAAAGTATATCTATGTAAGATTTGAATTGATTAAAAATATATCATAATTTGCCTTACCCTTAACTATTTTAAATGTTATTGGATACCTGCATTGAGTATCATAACATTTATTGTTAAACAATTTATTTGTAAATGAATTTTGGAGAGAGGAGATGGGAAAATTTAGATGCACATGTACACACACATTTTCTTAACAGGGTTTCACTTTTTGTATCGAAGAAATATGAAGTTAAAGTGAGCAACAGATAGTATGTGTTAAACTGGTATCTCTTATACAGGACCATTTTTTTTTTTCTGAAAAGAAATGTTGATTGAATCTCAGCATATAAAAAATGTAGTGGTAGGTAATGTTTCTAGTGACTTCTGTTATCTATCTACTTGTTGGATTTAAAGTATTGATGTAAACCATTCATTTAGTTTGTTGATTAGCTTTATTATGATCTTATTTCATCATAACCTAGTGGTTAATGTGTCTGGACTGTGAATCTAAAGATTCGTGGTTAATGACCAGTTGCTGAAACACATACTTTGTGGGCATTTGCATAGTAAGAGTGAAAGTCAAATTTGCACAAAATTAATAAGTTCTACTGGTTGAGGTTTTTATTTATTCTCTTATTAGCATGTCTTTCTTTGATTTTAACCTGAATCAGTAAATTTAATATAATTTTCTCTCTATAGAGTCCATTTACATGTGAAAAACTGGGTACAATAATCAGAAAGGGGAAAAGTCGAGTCATTTCGTTACAAGTGGATGAAAAGGAAGCAGTTCTTGCTTGTCATGTGAGTATAAATGAAATACATATCACATACAGTTAATAATTTATCTTAAAATATAGAAAAAAATTTAGCCAAAATTTTATGACTTTCCATATGGATTCTAAGATGCAATGGTAAAACTAAAAACACTATCATGAACCACAGTGGTAGTTCATAATAGAGTTTGCCCAGGAATTTTGCAAAATTTCTAATAGAATATATGGGCAAAAACCAGACTTGTTCTTGAAACAACACTCAAGATATTCTATCTCAATGGCTAAGGCTGCAAAAATATTGATAATAATGAAAAAGTTGATTTTACGATTGTTAGACAAAATTCATCCATTTGGTCTTCATATTATTATTGTTTCACGAGCCTACAGAAAAAATGGCCATGTATATTTTATGAAAACCTACTAAAAACTTCTGTGCAAGTCATAGGACTATATTTAGATTGATTTTTGAAAGAGATGGAGAGATTTTATCAGTTTTTCATTGCTACTAGCCAAATTTCTTTTTGAAGCCATTCAAGCAGTGAAGCCTACAGCAAAAATGGCTAAGTATTCTGTGTCAAAAGCTATGCACATCTATTAAACAAACTCCTGTGAAGGTCATAGGGCCATTTTTAACTTGATTTTTGAAAGTCAATATTTCTAACCTTTACATTTTTCTAAGTTCTTCTTCACTAACAACATAAGCTCTTCAAATCCATTCACGCATTGCAGAAATGTAGAAGCCATTTAAGCACCATTATCTAGTCAGAAATGCTACCTTTTATACTACTTGGAAACTCTTTGTTTTATTTATGACACAGCCTAATTATTATTGATTATAGTTTTACCAGCAGCTACAGAAAAAATGGCTAAGAATATTTTACTGAAACCTGGACAATAGTAATGAATGCAATATTGAGTATGTCATAGGGTAATTTTAAAATTAATTCAAACTCCTTCATTTTTTTCCTCTGAAGAATTTTACTAAGTCCTTCACTTTTTGCCATTGAAAAAAATTTGTTTTACTAATATGTATTAATTGGAAACTACCACATCGAGGATTCATCATTTCTTGAATTTGCTGTTGTACTTTGTCTCAACATGGTTTTCTGTGACTATTTCAGTGAGTTTTCTAGCATTAGACAATTATTATAGTAGATTTCTCTACTCTTGTGAGTGGTTATTTATTCTACTGATTTTTGTACTTCACTGAAATTGTGAGTGCATATTTTAGTTTATTATTAGTAGTTTCACAAGCCTACAGCAAATTTGACTAGGTATCTTGCACCAAAACCTAGACAGATATACTATAAGAAATGCTGTAAATCTCCATGACCTATTTAAAAATTTGATTATTTTTCATTGAAAGTTGATTTATGTGACTATAAATACATAATATATGTGGTGTTGATGTGAGTGGCTTCCTTTGTACTCAATGCTTGTTAAATGCGTGTTTGCACGAAACCTCAGGCACAAAACCACCTGGCTCAGAAAATAATGGCTGGGTGGAAAAAAACCAATGCAGCAGTAAACTGTTGAAAAGAGTGTAACATTCAACTGAATGCATATGCACTTATGTGGCTTAATATTTATTCTCCATAAATGGGCATAAAAAAAACTTCAGAAACAAGACAATTAAAAAATTTAATTTAAAAAGGGCAATAGGGTTGTCAAGAAATGTACAGAAATAAGTTGAATCAAAATGAAAATATTATATTTTCAAGCCTACAACTAGGGACTCTAAAAAAGAAGAAAAAGTTTAACTTCTCAAGCTACAAATCCCTATTTTGACTCCTTGTCTACAGTACTTATCAATTTTAGTGGAGTCAAAATAGAGATTTGTAGCTTGAGAAAATAATGTACTCACTATTTCCAACTTAGTTTGTTTAATTTTTTTTTCTTTCTATTTGTAGGCTTGAAATTATAATCTTTGCATTTTGATTCAACTTGTTTCTGTACTTTTTTAATGATCTCTATTCTCCTTTTAAAATTAATTTTTTTAATTATTTTATAGTGTTGTGTTAGAAATAGAATTGAGACTTACTACTCAAGCGTTACAAATCTAAAATCAATACATTTAACAACTGTTTATTGTGTTTAAGAAATCCATAAACTCTTAGCAACTTTTTATTTGAAAATAAATTCATTAATTTCATTTTTTTTATTTGTACAAGAAGCAGAGAACACAGATAGAAATATTCTATGAACTGAGTAATGGAAAAGGTTTTTTTTAAAGAAAAGACTACAGTAAAAATGCTTATGCCAAAATTGAAGATAATTTTTTGTTTTTATAGGTAACAGATAAACATGGTAGATTGAAAGGTCCAACTTAAGCAATGGCAGTAGTTTTTATTTTAAAGGGAACAGGCATTTTAAAAATGAGATTTCTATGTTTTAGGGAACAGACAACATTATAGAAATATTCAAGCTTTGTAGTGAAGAAGAAGCTAAGAAACGACTAATGAAACGACAGAGGAAAGAAAGAAAAAAGCTCCAAAAGTAATTATGGTTATGTTTTGTTTGTTTTGTTTTTATCATGCATCTTCAAAATGTAATATGATAAGTGTATAAAGGAAAAATAAATGTGATATTAAATTTGGAGATTCATCTCTCCACTTTTAATAGAACAAGGTTAAATTTTGACTTGAATAAAAAGTAAATACTTATTGGCAAGGATTGGGTTGTATCAGTTGCAGAACTTTTGTGATTTTATGACCAATGTAAAAGAAGATTCTCAGATTTAAATTAAGAATACATATCATGTGTTACAAATGTTACAAAGTTTTATTTTCAGTCATTTTTAGTCATAAATCAATTAAAATAGTAATAAAAAGCAAAAAATCAATTTTAATACAAAGGAAAATATCCTCAATGTTGTTATTACACTTTAAAAGAGATACTGAACTACCCTAGCTAATATTAACTTTTAATGTTCCTAAATCATGATATTTGGTAATTCAATAATGTCTAAAATACATAATAAATATAAATGTTTAATTTGTTTTATTGTAACTTTACTTTTAATTATAAAATTGTGAAGGTTTAAATTTTTTACTTAGGCTTACATGATTCATTTCATGCTGTCCATTCAGACAGACAACAGTTACAACTACACCTGACCTTTAATCAACAATAAGACCATAAGTCTCAAATGAAATTATTATGCAATCTTAAAGTTGGTACTTGCTCTTTCAACAGTGAAGGTTTTGACTGCACATTCATTTTGGAAAGGGTTACGACAGCTTACGTCATTATTGCATCCAGTTTTTCCATCCCATTGATTTGTTTTTTTTTAATGCAACCACTTTACATCTATGGTACAGCAGATTACTGTGGTTGTTTAGGTTAACGTGATTTTCATTTAAATTATGGTAAATTGAAATAGCAAACATCATTTTGGTTTAAGTTGTTTCTAAAATTTCTGAAATTAATAGTCAAATGACTGCTTTTTACAAATTGTGTTTAGATTACAAGAAACAGGAAATGAAGCACATTTAGAAGAAGTTACTTCATCGAGATCGTTGACTGATGAGATTCAGAGATTACCGGTTTTAAAAGTTGGTAGTAAAGCCCGAGGAATAGATATTTACATGACAAAAGTGGGTAGGCATAAGAAAAGTATTGATACATGGTTTAATTAACATCAGTAAACTCAAATGAAATATATTGATAAGAATAAAAACTATATTGCCAAGTCATGTCAGAACCAAAAAAAAAGTACAGATACTTTGTAGCTGAGTTTATGAAGGTCTGTAATAGAGCTAGGTGATTAGTGGAATTTTGTTGATTGATTAGTTGTCAGACTCCTTAATCAGTTTCATTCAACCAATAAATTATTCTCACATGAGGCCTGTGTAGTTGGAATAATTGAAAATTAATTTTATTAGTTGATTATTTTAATGAGTTATGATACTAACTGATTAAGATGAATTACCTTGAAATAATTGAAAATAACATTGAGAATTCATAGTGGCAATATTTCAATTATTTGGATAGTTGGAATAATCAAAAAGAGTAATAATCTGAACCATTAATTTCAATTAATTGATTATTTTTGTGACATAAATAGATTTATTCATGATTTTGATTAATCTATTATTTTATGACACTAATTGATGCTCATAGGTAACTGATTTTATTGATTGAGTTAATCACTCAGCTACACTCTTAAATAAGCAATAATTATTTTAAATTGTTAATTATAATTGGAATGGTATGCCCTTTATTATTCTTAAAACATTTTATTAATTAACATATTAAGAAATTACATATATTGTTACAACTAGCTTTTATATATATATAATTACACTTATATATTGAGCCCAGTTTCCAAAATCCTGTATCTGCCCCTGAAATTAGTCATAATATCAATTTGTATTTTTACTTGTGTGCATTTTTTAGGTTGCAGTCCTCCTAAATAACAACAGTATTGAAGTATACACATCAGACATCACAAACAAGGGAGTTTCTGGTCTCTGTGTGGGTGCAGTTAAATTGCCTGGACACAGAACAGACGCTAGAACTTTAACTTTCAGCTCAGACAATACTTCAATCCTCTCAGCCAGTGGAGAAACTGTCAAAATCTGGAACAGGTAAGGATGGTGATTACATTAAAATCCTGTATTTTATATATATGGTATAATCATTACCATGCAAGCAAGCAAAGCTATGGTAAATAAGATTTAGTTAACAT